CCCCCCGTCTAGCCTCAGTTTGGAAAGAGAGGAAACAAGACAAGACTGAACTTTTGGAAACATCCCTCTCAGCACCCGCCACGCGGGACCTGAGGACGCGCTCAGGTATCGCCCGCGCCCGAGTGCCAGCCTAAACAGAGGCGGCACAGCCCTTTCGGGGAGAAGGTGGCATTTGGTGAGCTCTAATCTCGCCGTCCTTCCCGGTGCCACAGGGTCCCCGGGGCTGATGGAAGGGCCCGCGGACACGGAGGAGAGGCGGCCAAGGGGAGAGCCCCGCGCCGGGCAAGCAGCAGCAGAGGCGGGGGCACTGCCGGGGAGCACGGGCCGTGCAGCCGGCAGGTCGGACCCTCGGTATTTCTCTCACTTTAGCAGTATGTCCCTTCAGAGAACTTTTTTTTTTTGTTGTTGTTTTTGTTTTTCGACACAGTGTTTATGCATCAGACACAGACTATTTCATTCTAACAAATTTATTTTCTCAATCAGCTCTTACGGAATCACTACTCAAATTAAATTACAATCAAATTATCACATCAAAAGATACCCTTATTACCTAACAACTGTCCATATTTTCATTTCATTTTGATTTGTGCTCGTCTGAAAAAAACACGTAATACAAGATCTGGGGAAAAAATAAATTACCGTTTTGCAGCAGTTCATAGGTATTCTGAATAAAATATTAAAAGAAGTCATTTAATGAAAATATAAAGCAAATTTTTTTTTTTTTTTTAGATCAACAACGGATCTAACAATTCTATATTGCCGTCTTTTTGAAAAGTCTGTTTATTAAAACCTACCAAAAACACTGCTTGGAAATGGCAGTATTATATAATCACATCCACAGCACCCATTCAATCAAAGTTGGCAACGGATTTAGGAGAGGAGAAGTTCAGATAAGTGCAGCTGCAGATGCTCAGTCCTTCTAAATCCCTTTATCTGAATCAGTCCAGAAATAAAAAATAAAAATATTAATAAAAAAAATATTAGCAGTGGATTTTTTTTTTTATGACTCTTCCATGATGATTGGCAGCCGTCAGGAGCAGGACTTTGACAACCCTAAATTATTTCCCTTTCTTTCCCTGGTTCCTTTAATTCATGCAAAGTCCTTCTACAGAGCTCGAACTTTAGGGACCAACAACCTCTCCTTCTTTCACCCTCCCCCTGGCGTCTGTCCCTCCCCCCTTTCTCCTCAGGGTCAGTTTTCTCCGCGTGCGGGCATTTATTTCCATATTTTTGTTCTATAGCTATACCTATATATATAGATAAATATATATATATGTATTTGCTTCCCTATTCAGTCTGCTTGTTTTTAGTGCTGTGTGCATATTTTTTTTCCTGGAAAAAAGTGGACCCTTTCATTTTGCAGAATATATAGATATATAGATATATATGTTTTCAGAGTGGATGTCTGCCTTGCACCAAAATTCTACGGTTTGGCCAAGAAAAACAGGGTGCTGGAATGCAGCAGGCACCCTCTGATTAACCAGATTATTTTTCTTCTGCTTCCCTTTTTTTTTTTTTTTTCTGATTGCTCCCATTGAAAAAGAAATTAAAAAGAGGGAGAGAGAAAGGAGAAAAAAAGTTTCTGTGATTCATAGAAGAGAGCCCTTTTG